AGGTGTCTACCCCATACTAACTTATATTTTGGTGACTCGATTTTTGCCTTGATGGTTGAACACTGTCACTGTTTTCCTTTTTTGTTGTATCTAGATGATACTTGAGCATCAACTGTTACCTACTGAAGTATTAGCATCATTTAGAAAAACTAGAAATCCTTTGATATGATATTAGAGTAGATACTTCGTATTTCGAGTATGAGCATCTACTGAGTTTTATTTATATCAACCATTGTCAAAAAATTGATCGAACGTTGTTTCGACAGAACTTTCTTCGCACCAAAAGTACAATGAAACATATTCAGCATTTTCGAGTTGAATCTTTTCTTCACATAATTTTGTGATGACCTAATCAACATTTACGATCGACACGTATACCACCTGGGATTGGTGCAGTGTAATACTAAAAATAACTGTACTGTATTCTCAAAATTATCTGCAAAAATCGAGTCAGCCATTCCATCAATTTTTTGGGGGGAATAAATAAATATTCTTAACAATTTACCATGCTTACAATAACTTTAAAATGTCTGCAAGATCTCAAAGTATTCATTTCTACAACTCTTGAGTTATTCACTAAAATAAATTGACTGATCCAAATATTTTTTTGAGTCACTGTAAAAGCAAATCCAAAAAAAATTGGTCTAAAGAGTTTAGACAGTACTTCCCTCGCTGTTGGAAACTTGACGACTGCATGCCTATTGTGTTTTTTTTCTCATTACATTTTTGTAGTGGGAATTTAAAAAAAAATTGCGATGACGTCATCAACATTTTTGCAAGGACACGTATATCAGTTGGGATAGATGTAGTGTAATACTAAGAATAAAATTATTATATTCCCAAATTTTCGGGAAAATGAATTGGGTCGTTTTGAATATTGATTTGTAATAATCAATAAAATAACGAAACAATTTACTCACGTATACGTATCAGAGGCAACTGAAAATCGTGTATGTATAAACATTCTTAATTTAAGATGACAGGCGTAACAGCATACGTGAGAGTCAAACAGAGAAACTGTAAACAAAACGACCATCGGTTTTATTGCTTCGACTTCCGCTTATTATATAAAACCTTGGATTTTATTTTAATTTTTGACGGTGGAATTCACAATTGGTTGATTTAAAACATGTCTATACCACATTCGCGGAACCTAGTCAGCTATGTTTCAACCGAGTTTTAACTTTAAAAAATTTTGTGTCTACCAAATTGGGTTGGTCCAATGTAATACTAATAATAAGTGTTGCCTTTAATTTGATCAATAAAATAAATTGACTTCATTAATTTTTTTGAGCCACCCTTTAAGAAAATCTAAAAAATATGAATGGAATGATAAATCACAAGTACAAACTCATCATATTTTCTGCATTTTAGATAGGATTTATTTAGCAAAATTTAAGGATGACGTCACCAATTTTTTTAGGAGGGATGAACAAATACATTTTGAACAGAAGTTTACCATGCTTATAATAACTTTAAAATATCTCCAAGATTTCAAAGCATTCGGTTTTGTAATTCCTGATTAAATCGATCAAATAAATTCACGCATTCATTAATTTTTTTGAGTCAGCCTGTATATGCAAATCCAAAAATATGAATGGAATGATAAACCACAAGTACAGACTCATCATATTTTGTACATTTTAGATAGGATTTATTCAGCAAACTTTTGGGGTGACGTCATCAATTTTTTAGGGGGGATGGGCAAATACATTTTGATAAAAAATTTACCATGCTTATAATAACTTTAAAACATCTCCAAGATTTCAAAGCATTCGGTTCTGTAAATCCTGATTAAATCAATAAAATCAATTGACGCATTCATTAATTTTTTTCAGTCACCCTGTATATGCAAATCGAAAAAATTTGAATGGAATGATAAATCACAAGAAGAGACTCACCATATTTTGTACATTTTAGATAGGATTTATTCGGCAAAATTTTGTGGTGACGTCATAAATTTTTTAGGAGGGACGACCAAATACATTTTGATAAAAAATTTACCATGCTTATGATAACTTTAAAACATCTTCAAGATTTCGAAGCATTCGGTTTTGTAGTTAATGAGTAAATCAGTAAAATAAATTTTGCGCATTCATTAATTTTTTTGAGTCACCCTGTATATGCAAATCCAAAAAATATGAATGGAGTGATATATCACAACCACAGACGCATCATATTTTGTACATTTTAGATAGGATTTATTCGGCAAACTTTTGAGCTGACGTCATCAAGTTTTTGGAGGGGATAACCAAATATATTTTGACTAAAGATTTATGATGCTCTTTAGAGCCTTAAAACACCTGCAACATTTCAAAACATTGGGGTTAGCAGATTCAAAATTAAATTGCAAAATGTTGTTTTAAAATTTTGATTTTTTTTCCAAAAATCTGGACGTTTCGGGTAAAAACTGAATTCGGAGTCGTAAACTACATATGTAGGACTATGTTATTTTATACAATTTAAGACCTATTTACTATGTACAGTGACGTCATCGCATTAGTGGTGGGGATGATTAGACAAATTTTGGTTAGCGTTTAACCATCCACATGATATTCTTAATATAAGTACAAAATTTCACAACAATCGGTCCAGTACTTTCGGAGATTATCTGTCTAATAAAAATCCGGGACGGCAGACGGACAGACGGACGGAAATGGGAGACCTATTTCTTCGTCTTCTAGGGGTCATGAAAAACCAAAAAAATTAAAAGTAGAGAGTCGGCCGACGGACTCGATTACAATACTTCCTTCGCTTACGCTCGGGAAGTAAAAAATGAATGCAATGATAAATTACGAAAATATACTGATGATATTTTGCACATTTTAGATAGGATTTATTGGGCAAAATCTTAAGATGACGTCATCAAGTTTTTAGACTTGATAAACAGGTATATTTTGATTAAAAACGTACCATGTCAAACAGTAACTTCCAAACGTCTGCAATATTTCAAAATTCAGTCTTGCAATTCTTGATTCAATCAATAAAATAAATTGACTCAGTGATTAATTTTTTTGAGACGCCCCCTATAAGCGAAACTAAAGAATATGAATGGAATGATAAATCACAATTATAGTCTAATCCTATTTTGGACATTTTAGATAGGATTCATTTGGCAAAATTTTGGGCAGACGTCATCAATTTTTTGGAGGGGATAAGTAAATATATTTTGAATAAAAATGTATTATGCTTATCATATGTTTAAAACATTTGCAAGATTTCAAAGCATTCGGTTTTGCAGATTCAAAATTAAATTTTAGGTGAAAAGAAGTTCACGGGGTCAGCTAGTAGTTTAAAAAACTAGAAATACGCTTTTGGAGCAATATATACTAAAAAATATTCTTTAAAAATGATGAGCTTCAATGTAAAAAAAGCGAGGCATGGTTTCGACAACCGATATCAAGGACCTTACGTTTTTACTTCCCAAGCGTAAGTCGGCCGACTCTCTACTTTTACGTTTCCTCGATCTTTCATGACCCCTAGAAAACGAAGAAATAGGTCTCCCAGTTCCGTCTGTCTGTCCGTCTGTCCGTCTGCCTGCCGTCCCGGATTTTTATTAGACAGATAATCTCCGAAAGTACTGGAGCGATTGTTGTGAAATTTTGTACTTATATTAGGAATATCATGTAGATAGTAAAACGCTAACCAAAATTTGTCTAATCATTCCCACCACTAATGCGATGACGTCACTTCAAAATTGTACATAGTAAATGGGTTTTAAATTGTACAAAATAACATAGTCCTACGCATGTAGTTTACGAGTCCGAATTGAGTTTTTACCCGAAACGTCCACATTTTGCAATTCAATTTTGAATCTGTTAACCCGAATTTTTTGAAATGTTGCAGATGTTTTAAGACTATAAAGAGCATCATAAATCTTTAGTCAAAATATATTTGGTTATCCCCTCCAAAAACTTGATGACGTCAACTCAAAAGTTTGCCGAATAAATCCTATCTAAAATGTACAAAATATGATGAGTTTGTACTTGTGATATATCACCCCATTCATATTTTTTGGATTTGCATATACAGGGTGGCTCAAAAAAATTAATGAATGCGTAAATTTATTTTACTGATTTACGGGCCAATTTCGAGTTGGTTTGCAATTAATTGCAAGCTGCGTTGCTATGGTAGCCTCGCAAAAATATAATGGTTTGTATTAAGAGTTCTACGAGATCACGATAGCAACGGCGCTATCAATTAATTGCAAACCAACTTGAAATTGGCCCGTTACTCAGGAACTACAAAACCGAATGCTTTGAAACCGTGAAGATGTTTTAAAATTATTATAACCATGGTAAATTTTTGATCAAAATGTATTTGGTCGACCCCCCTAAAAAATTTATAACGTCACCACAAAATTTTGCCTCTCTTCTTGTGATTTATCATTCCATTCATATTTTTTGGATTTGCATATACAGGGTGACCCAAAAAAAATAATGAATGCGTAAATGTATTTTATTCATTTAATCAGGAACTACAGAACTGAATGTTTTGAAATCTTGCAGGTGTTTTAAGGTTGTAAAGAGCATAATAAATTTTTAGTCAAAATATATTTGGTTATCTTCTCCAAAAAACTGATGACGTCAGCTCAAAAGTTTGCCGAATAAATCCTATCTAGAATATACAAAATATGATGAGTCTGTACTTGTAATTTATAATTCCATTTATATTTTTTGAATTTCCATATACCGGGTGACTCAAAAAAAACCGAATGCTTTGAAATCTACTGCGAAAAGAAAACATAATAGGCATGCAGTCGTCACGTTTCCGATAGCGAAGGATTTTTTACATTAAAGTTAATTTTTTAAGATATTTTTTTATTTTTAGTCCACATTGCTACAAAATCATCTTTTTATTTTTTTTAATATAATTTTTTAATTACCCCATTGAAAAACTATTATTTAAAAGGGCGTTCAACTTAGTTGAATCCGATAATTTATCAAACAATTCTAATAGGAACAATACTTATTAAAAAAATAATATTGTTACATGCTTACCTTGAGATGTTGCCACTTGTGATACAACTTTTGAGCTTTGTCCTTCTCCTATTCTAGTTGACGCTGTTACCCAAAACTGGTACTCGATATGTGACTGAACTCCTTTAACTTCGTAACTTGTATGCTGACTTGATATAGTTTGTTTTATATGATCCACTTCTTCCCTTCCATCCATACTTCGTTTATATAGATTATATTTAGTAATAATACCATTTGGCTCTAAGGGTGGCAACCAAGATATCTTCAAAGATTGCGAAGAACTTACAACAACCTTAATATCTTCTGGATGGCCCGGTACTAAAAAATATTGTCATGTATTAGTTTTAGCAAAAAAGTTTTTGATATAGAGTATAGTATGGAACTAATTCACGTATAGGATAATATGACAAATGATCAATTTAAGTCCGTATGCTTGGCCTTTTGCTTCAGGATCTGAGTGTCGGTTGGAAATATTTTGAACAGGTTTGAAAATTTAAATCCATCTTGAGAGAACGACGTTTACTAAAACGATAAAAATGTGTCTCTTATCCTCTCCAGGATGCTTACTCTCGAATCGTAGGAATCACAAAATTGGGAGAAAAGGGAGGTAATGAGAGGTAATTTCTCACGAAATTAGCTAGACCGAATTTTCGAAACTGCGAGCTTGTTCCCATCTCCTGAAAATCTTCTCTTGGTATTTTTCAGGAGAAGGATCGAAATTTTGAAGAAGGCGTTTGTAAAAATTGTCAATACGTATCGTGTTCATATCTTGTTCTAAGTGTACTTAGTGTTACAGTGGTTTTTAAAAGTATTTCTTAATTTGAATTATTGCAAAGTGGTTTAAATAAATTGGAAGCACTTATAAAAGGTTGAAAAATTGAAAAAATTTATTCTGTGAACAAAACAGAGAAGCAGTTTTAGAATAATGGATCTGTTGGACCCATTGGATCTGGCATTGTTTAATCAAATCATGTACGATCTTGATGATGCTGAAGAGCAGGTGGGCGTCCACTTCGGGAACTGCAAATACAACATCAAATTGATCCATTTGAATAACTAGACGAAAATAAATTTAGAAAACATTTGCGCGTAAGTAAGGCCTTGGCGCGAAATATTATAGAAACCATTCGACCGTTTATGCAAGAAGCATCTCGAAGTTCCGCTATTAACATTCATCATAAGGTAAAGGTCTTAATAAATGGAAGGATTTGTAAATGACGTATTAGCGGATTTTAGGTATTTACAGCACTTCGGTTTTTTGGTTTTGGTAGTTATCAGGACATTACTGGCACAAATAAATGTGTCTTTGAGCCAGCCAAATACCAGCCGGGCCATCAAAGAAGTTGCTAATGCTTTATGTGAACCTTAAATATTAAACAATTGGGTTCGTTTTCCTGCAAATCTAAAGGAACTACAACCGTCTTCGGTCGGTACTTATTACAGATGTATATGCATAATGACAAAAAGACATTGGATTAACACTTTTTTTTTTGAAAAGCATCATCTACCCTGCATTGTGGGGTGTATTGCTTGTACACATGTAGCGATTGTACGTATTAATACATTTACACAGCAATGCTTGAACTTTTAGAAATTAAATTTGACAATGACATTTCTAATAAGGTGTTGTTTGTTACCATGGTAATAAAAATTTATTTTGTGCAGTGAAAAGTACTCAGGCTAACAATTTATCAAATTACCCTGGTATATTGGAATTGTTCTTGCCCAAATAGAAAACGACATTTTTTTTAATTTAAAGCCATTAACCATGCCGACGTCCAGTTATATGAAGGAGACAAATCGCTTTAAATAATGTTAGAGGATTGTTTAATAAAACAATGTACCGTCATCTGCGTAAAAAGCATGAGATGATTTTAATAAAGACATAAGCTTAGATATATACACAAGAAACTGTATAGGTCCTAACACCAATCCTGATAGCACTTCTCGGTTGGAAGAATAAGAACAAACAAGTCTCACTCTAAAACTACGTCCACGCAGGAAAACTTTGATCCATTGTAATAAAAGACCTCAAATTCCGACGTTATCTGGCTTTCTCAACAGTAGTAAACTAGGTAGTCGTGAAGATCATCGCTAATTACACTTTCACTTTCACCATGCTAATTACCCGCGGGGTATTCATTAATTACTCATTATCATTATCAAAAATTCCATTAATTATCGATTTTATTATTAATTAGATCATAATTAATTTTTTTCTGCGAGAGGAAGAAAGATTGATTATAGACCTGTCAAAAAGAAACCTACCAAATGAATACGAAATTCATCTTTATGTAGGTATATATTGCATAGTAATTTTGTTCAGAATTTTTGTGCCGTAACAATGGATTTTCAATATTGATCATGAGTAATAACGGTTGCCCTAAGGATAATTAACATGGTGAAAATGAAAGTGTATTTAGACAATGACCTTCATGACTGCCAATATACTTAAGAAACATAATTTTGGTTTATAGGTATACAGGGTGCCGCATCCAAGTCTGGATATAGGGAATTAACATGGGAATTGGTTTTTATTTTATAATATCTCCCCAGATCACTTTAAAGCTATTATTGAGCGATGCCTTTGTGGAGGTCGAAGAGGGCTATCGGCCAGTATTTTTTTCAAATCGTTGCATCGCGCTCATTCACTGTAAAAAGATTTTAAAAATCGTATTTTGAAATTCGCGCCCGATCCGATTTGTCGCGAAGTGCTCCGTCCCACTATCGAAGTTCGGCGATCGCGTGTTTGAATTAATCATGCAAAATCCAAACGTCAAAGTGAAATTAGAAATTATTCTCAGAAATCAACGAACTCAAGCTGAATTATTTTATCCAGTGTGATGATTATTGTTAGTCAATTTAAACGGAATAAATGCACATACTGAACAAAATATTTTATTAGGTTATGCTATGTTCTATTGCGATTAGATGAAAAAGCGAGGGCCTGCTTGTTCTTCAACGGTTAATTTAATTAGTAGGTAATTTGGGTAAATTTCACACTTTTTTTTCGAATCACTAAAGATTGGAAGTCAATTCTTTTACATTCGTTAAGCAGGGATGGAATTTTGCCACCTGGAAGCATGTTCGTTACAAGAAATTTTTGAGAGAGAAATGTAGAACATTGATTCATCAACATTTTAAAGTATTTTTCTCTATTACGAATGTGTTTTGGGATTCAGAAACTTTTGTATTACTGTTTTATTTGTTTATTTTGTTAACAATAACAAAAATAAAAATAATATTTCACAAAACAAAGTTACATTTATTTTCAAAGGTGATAAAAAGTAAATAAAATCAGGTGGGCACAACGTTTTCTAGGGATCTTAGAGAGATGGGATAGAAGTTTCAAAAAGCATCATGACAAAAAATTGAAGCCTGAGGACTACTTCTCACGTATGGAGTTTTACGAAGAAACGCTTGAGAGAATCTAGGCTGATGGAGAATTTTTCAGGAACATTTGTTTTACTGACGAATGTTCATTAGGTCTTAAGGGAAGTTATAATCGTCAGAACGATCAAATTTAAGCATTACACAACTCTCACGTGGTCCATGAGTATCGTTATCAATGGCGTACAACTGTCAGTGTATGACTGGGGCTTCTAGGACATCATGTCATTGCACTTTTTTTCATCGAATCCGGAATGAATGCTCAGAAGTAGGACAATATGCTAGCTCAGCAAATACTTCCTAAGACTCGAAGGGTGCGGCATCTGCAGCAGGGAGCTTACTCTTGACCGAGTGAGTTTTCTCATTTGTGACTTTTTTCACTAAAATGACGTGATTTTAGTGACATTTTTTAAAAGTCTACTCTTGACACAATGATTCAACTCAGCGATGAGAAAATCCACATGGAAACGCGTGACTTTAAACAGTTGATACTTTTTCGATGAGATTTCTCATTTTGGGAGAGATTTGTATGTTTTTGTGTGTTTTTTACATTCTGAAATATTTTAACGTGTGCTGTTACTATTTTGGTGCGTTTTTTTTTTTTGGTGATTAAATATTTTTTAAAAATTGGATGATTTTGTAATGAAAAATATTTTAAACGAAGATGTTGAGGATTTGGAACCTGCTTCGCGATGTACGGGCAATCCCTTAACTGAATTGCCCGAAAAACAATTTATCAAATTATTTAGGGTTAATAAGAGACTGTTAAATTATAGTATTGTTAGTTTGGTGGAACCATATATGCGACCAAAACTAAGATCGACAGATCTAGCTCAGTGGCGGAACTGAGGGGGGGCAGGGTGGTCCATGGCCCAACCAAAAACTTTGCGGCCCACCCTGGTGCCCACCTCAATTTTTCTAGAAATACCGGTGTAAATTTTTAACTTGTTTTGTAATAAAATCTCAACATTTTTTTAGTCCCCGCAAATGAAGCCGGTGCCCACAGATGATGTTGCAGCTTTGCATCCTAGCAATACTTTATTTTTAAATTTTGACGCCTTAACTCCTTTAGTCACTTTTTATCAAAGTAATTTGGATTTGTTGAAATCAGAACTTATGAACGTCCAACAACGTTGACAAGGTATGAAAATGAAAAAAATTTGAAAATCACGACATTAATGGACCTTTTTGACATGTTAAAAATTTATAAAATTACATTTATTGAAACTTACAAACTAGGGGTTATTAGTGCTAAAATTCCAGTATCCAGTGCTGCATGTGAACGTACTTTTGCCACTTTAAAACGTTTAAAAACATGTGTGCGTAATTCTATGACCAATGAAAGACTAATTCATCTTGCTGTGACCAACGTCGAATCTGCCGTGGCAAAATCTTTAAACATGGAAGATATTGTTAAAGAATTCGATGCTACTCACAACAATCGTCGAATATTACTTCATTAGGGGTAAGTCACTTCTATGCGGTTATACATATAACACTGCAATGCGTGCCCAATTAAGATTTTGAGGGCCCAACCGTTGGCCCACCCTAGAATTTCATGCTAGTTCCGCCACTGATCTAGCTGTAAATACACAGGTACCTAAGTATGTCTGTCACAAAACTGCCTTCATTTAAGTATATTAGGTACTCTAAAAAAAGTAAACATTTAAGAAGAATGCAGGTTCTACTAAAATTTTTAGGTTCTTGCAGCTTTGCGTTTTTATGCTGGTATCACACAGATGTTGGATACAATCCTTATATCGATATTTTCCAACAAAGTGTAAGCCGAAGTGTCCGAGAAGTTACAGAAGCATTGAATAGACCAGAGATTTTAAATGCAATGGTTAAGTTTCCCAGAAACTTCCAAGAGCTTCAATTATACCTAGAAGATTTTCTTATAGATTTTGTAACGATTTCGGATTTGCTGG